CCCCCCCCCGCCTGCACCCCAGTTGATAAAGAAGGTTTAGGCACACCTCAATCCAATGCTAAGGCTTTGGAGGAGATACCGAGTAAGCATCACTGCGTTGAGCTGCTCCGACTTTGGAAACAAGGGCGCAGGAACGCCCTACCCCCACCTCACCCCTCCCTTGGGCTAGAACCTCTCAAGTACCCGAAATCCCCCTCCCCATCACACGCTAGGAACAGATTCTGAGGATCCGTACATTAGTGAGTTTCGCCGGGCCCTGGAAGTGTCCGAAAACATTCAGCCCGTTCTTTGGTAAACTCAGTCTCTGCGCAGAACTTTTGTTTTAGCCCTGGTGTGACAGTGTCCAGAGAGGTCTCGTTTCGTACGGTGTTTTCGGATCAGATCTCTTGGTAAACAGGCAGGGGTGTTTACCCTACAAAGTCGATGTATTTATTACTTCGCTGTGGATTCTTTCAGTGCTTCAAACTTGTGGGGCCTTTTTTGGGGGTTGCATGGGGATTGGAGCGGGAGGAAGGCCAAGGTGTTTCCGGGCAAGCGCGCGGGGTTAAGTGGAGACGCGACTCGCGGGGCTCTCCTGCCCGATCCCCTTTGGGACACAGCTGGCCTATCCCCAGTATGGAGCTGGGGAGACCGAGTCTCGTAGACCCAATGGCCCACTCCTAGCTGGGAACGGGCGGACTCTCCCCGGGGTCTTCCGGCCCAAAGTCGGTTCGGTTTGTGTGGCTTCGCCTCTAACAAAGAGATCCGCTGTAATCCGCCGAATCTGTTATCAATTTCTCCGCTGCCCGCGCGCCCCGCCCCGCGCGCCCCGCCCGTCGGGAAGCTCGGAAAGTGCGCGCGGCCAGCAGTCTTCTCCGCCGGTGTCTCGGAAGCACGCCGGTGCGTGTGTCTGTGCATGTGTTTGTGTGAATGTGCCTGAGTGTGTTGTGTGTGTGCGCGCGCGGCCTTGTCCGCCGAGGGGGGAGAGTCGATTTTGCAGCCTGGGCCGCGCGCGAAGGCAGACCTCGCAGCCCACCCCCTCCCCTAGAAGAAACTTGACACTTCGGGCGGGGGTGGGGAGGGAGACCGAGCCTTCTCGCTCCTAGGCTGGGGAAATCCCAGGTTTCTATTCTCCGGGATGCGCCCCTCGCTTTGCGGTGTTTGGAGAACAAGTGGGCCAAGGGGTCAGAGCGCTGGCTAGCGGGCACTGGGGACCACATAAACATTTCCTCTCGGAGAAGCCCCGAGCTGTCCTGGTCCAAAGGACGGCGGGCTGGGAAAAGCCTTGGCACGCTCCTGGGCCCCTAAGCGTTTCTAAGGCCGCCTAGGTCCTCTCTGCCCCTTTGACGGCGCACGTTCCAGGATCTTCTGCTGCCCAAGGCGGCTCACCTTTCCTTTCCCGAGGAAAGGGCTCCCTGGGGGCTGCGGGCGGTGCAGCGAGCTACCCTAATCAGAAATGTAAAAGGGGATTTTGGAAACCCGCTCCTCCCACCCGCACCCGCCACTGTCTCGCGCCGCCGCCGCCTACAGGTGGAGAAGTCACCAGTGGGGAGGAACGGCAGCGAAATCTTTCAAGGCCGCCCCCCGCCCCCGAAATGCTTCACGACGGGAACCTTCACCGTCTGGGCCCTCTGTGCCCTGCAATCCAGGGGCTCAGCCGCCGCGGAAGCCGGCGCATCTCTGGCCCCGCCTAGGGCTCACTCGAACCGGCTCTGGCCTCGCCCTGCACCCTCAACGTCCGGGACTTACCGAACCGAGTCTGAATTGGGCTGGAAGGTGGGGTGGGGGTGTTCTAAGGGCAGGCTCACTGTGGCGCGATGGCGAAGTGGCCGACAACACCAGACCATAACCGGAGGAAACTGGAGTCGCCCTTGGCTTCCTTTCCTCTTTCTCCGTGGCAGCTGTCAGGAGTGGGGACAGAAGGGGGGGGAGCGGGAGGGAGAGTGAAATGAAAAATCAGAACTTGTGGGAAGGCAAGGAAGGGATCCTCACCTAGGACAGTGGGACCCGGACCCCCTTCTTTCCTCGGGGGTGCTATCCCTTCTCTGGGGTACACTGAGTCCGAGGAGGAGCCCGCAGGCAAGGGAGGGGGCACTGTTTTCCGGTTTCCTTGGTTGAGAGAGCCGATCTCTCTCCCCGTTATCCCTAGTGCCCCTCCCCCCATCGCCTTCTCCCCACTCCAGTCTGGCTGAAGAGTATCCTAAGGAAACCCCGGTTGCCCTTCCCCCTCTGGAAGTGGCTTCCCCCAAAGCGGCCTGTAAACTGATTATGAAACATACGCTGTTAATTCCGAGCTGCATTTCCCAGCTGGGCACTCTCGCGCACGCAGCTCCCCGGGGCCTCGCCCCCCACCCCCTGCCCTTCCCTCCCGCGTCCAACCCCCACTCCCCCACCCCTGAGCCGGCCACCCCGCCTCCTCCGCAGCCGCCGGTGGCGCGCTCCACTCGCCTTCGCGCTGCTCTCGCCCATGGAATTAATTCCGGCTCCACTTGTTGCTCGGCCCAGGTTGGGGAGCGGACGAGGGTGGCGGCGGGTTCCCGAGTGAATTCCTTCCGAGGAAGGACCCAGCACAGCGCGGACTAGAGGGGAGCGAGGGGGTGCGGGAAGCGAACAAGCAGGAAAGAGGCAGCGCTTGGCACCGGGGCTTTGACTCAACAGCATTGAGACATGTTTGTAATCGCTGGCGTGCCCCGCGCGCAGGATCCCAGCGAAATCAGATTTCCTGGTGAGGTTGCGTGGGTGGATTAATTTGGAAAAAGAAACTGCCTATATCTTGCCATCAAAAAACTCACGGAGAAGCGCAGTCAATCAACAGTAAACTTAAGAGACCCCGGATGCTTCCGTTGTTTAAACTTGTATGCTTGAAAATTATCTGAGAGGCAATAAACATCTGCTCCTTTCTTCCCTCTCCAGAAGGCGATTGGAATATTAAGCCCAGGAGTTGCTTTGGGGATGGCTGGAAGTGCAATGTCTTCCAAGTTCTTCCTAATGGCTTTGGCCATATTTTTCTCCTTCGCCCAGGTTGTAATAGAAGCCAATTCTTGGTGGTAAGTTCCTTTTAAGTACATATTCTTTATTTTATTTTAATTTTTTTAAAAGATTCATTTGTATGATGCTGCAGTTTTCAGAGCTGAATCGTGAATTTGAGTCCATTTATCTAATGCATATGTATATATTTTACCTTATATGTCTGGAAATCAGAATTTTCTTTTAACTTGTTAATATTGTCAAGCTTATCTTTAGCTCCATAGGGAATGGGAACCTATAAATCTTCGCTTTTCTCTATGAGGCCCTTGTTCAGATGTATGCTTGTAGTACATCACGTAATAAAAGGGAACCAAAATTCACTTCTCTAATAATTGTAAGCCCATCTATAAAATTTACTTTTTGCCACCTCTGGGTAGTAAAAGTGAGTTCCAGCTTTTATTTTCTGTCACTTGAGGTTATTAACCTTCAGGGTCTGAAGTAGGCAGAGTTGTAGGAAGACAGCTAAACTCCAAGTGGGGAAGTATTTGCGCTGGAAATTTGATCAAAAGGAAGTTAACTTGAAGTAGTCAAATGTCCCTAAATGAGGGTTTCTTTCTGGTTAGGGGCCTTGTAGATCGACTGCAGTATATCCAGGGGATTATTTCTGACGGCCTTCTGGATATTTTTTCCCTGTAAATGAACAGCGTTTTTCTGACTGTCAAACATGACTTGTACTCACTGGATACCCTGTCTTGGGTCTTTCACAATCACATAAGGAGCCCTTTTAAAATGTCCAGAACACGGTGAATTTTCTCCAGTCTCTATATTTGCCTCAGCATCCTTCCATCAGTCAGAAGGAACCTCTATCTCCTCCCCGTGTCTAATTGTGTCTACTTTCGGCATTCATACATTTGCAAAGGCAGATCGGTCCAATTTGTGGGGCAAAGTGAGTCACTTTCTCTAATGTCAGAGGCCCATCCCCAAAACCGCCATTTCCCCCTTTTCTGAGCGCATTTCGGAAATATTGGTTCAGGTATATGGCAAGGAGGGCAAGGAAGGGAGTGAAAACCTAGCTGAGGAGCCAGATGGCGGGGTGGGGACTACAATACCTCCGTTTTCTGAGTGCAGTTTAAACAGAGAAGTTTTATGAAGCCCTTCTCATACTTTGTCATGAGGACAAGCAGGAGAGAAAAAGCATCTGTGTGCTTAAAACCATGTATTGCTGACATGCTTTCAGGGGGCCTACCTCGAGAGTTCACGTAAATCTTGAATGCACATCTCCCCCCCCCACTTTTTAGGTCGCTAGGTATGAATAACCCTGTTCAGATGTCAGAAGTATATATCATAGGAGCACAGCCTCTCTGCAGCCAACTGGCAGGACTCTCTCAAGGACAGAAGAAACTGTGCCACTTGTATCAGGACCACATGCAGTACATCGGAGAAGGCGCGAAGACAGGCATCAAAGAATGCCAGTATCAATTCCGACATCGAAGGTGGAATTGCAGTACCGTGGATAACACCTCTGTTTTTGGCAGGGTTATGCAGATAGGTAGGAAACCATTTCACATATTTTCAAATATGGGTCAATTATTCTCCTGGAAAAAGGCTTTAGGGTTTACTGACCGGCTTGATAAGGAGGGGAATCTTTCCAGCAGGGTGCTGGCTGGGGAAGTTTTGTCTTTATTTCTGCTTTTGCCTTCATTGCTGTCCCCACACCTGATTATAAGTTTTGGGCTTTTTTTAAACCAAATCAGAAGGGAAGCATCAAAGACGCCTCCGTGTTTTCTGAACACTTGATTTTTTCTAAAAAGCATTTTGTTTAAAATAGAAGCAGAACACTTATTTTGGTTTCTCAAAAGTGGATGAGGAAAGCTGAGTCATTTATATCCTTTTAAACTTCAAAACTCTTGTAACTGTTAGAAGTCTCGTAAGCCACAATTCAAATGGCCCAAGCATCAAACTAAATACTGTCCTCTTTCGGATGCTGGATATGTTGGAAGTGAATAAGGTTTTAATTTTCCTAATATAGATATTTCCTGAGGCTATAGAGATATATATGTTAAAAAGCTTTATTTTTAGTACCAAAAAGAATTTTAATTAGAAGTGATTCCAATTTACGTTGTGATTTTGGCAATTGATGTAAAAGCACATGCTTCAGATCTCAACCTAGAAACTTAAAAAAAATCTTAAATGTATTGCTCACATTCAGATTCTGTATATTAAATGTATCATTGAACTTATTCCCTGCAGGGAGGAGGTGGCCTTAAAATTGGGCTAAAGGCGAAGCATTTAGAAAATCAGTTTGCCTCTGGTTTGCTTTAATAGCATAGGATGCTATCTGACAGATGTGATCCTATGTGTGTTTTCTAGTGTGAGTATTTTAGGTCCATTTAGTTTTATGCAAACAAGCCCTTATAATTAATATGACTGCAGTGATTCCTAAAATAAGAAGCCATTTATCAAAGCAATTAACTGTTTAGACTGACTGAAGATAAAAAAAAAAAGTTGGCTTAATATCCGTCACGGGTGGATAAAATGCTTTTTTAAAAACCCTGAAAAGTGCATTCATTGAGAACAAAAAAGAGTTGTCAGTGGATGTTTGAGCCAAGCGACTTCATATACTAAAATAATACAGGACTGGAAGCCATTCCTTTAATTGAATGGGAAAATGGTCTGCAGCCTCAGCCTGCAGTTTCATAGGGCTTTGTCCTTCCTGTTAATGATTAAAAAGTGCTAATGTATATACTGGGATCTGAATCTAGGAGTTCAGCGTCAGGAACACAGGAGCTTTCCCTGAATATGGGGTGCCCTGTGTAGTTAATTGGGGGTGTGGTGGAGATTCCATTCTGCATTTCGAAATTGTGAGTAAGTTCAAAACCTCTTTTTTTTAGCTGTATCAGAATGGTAAGTTGTCAGCTTTCTCTTCTCACCTTTGCCTTCCCCCTAAACTGCCTTCCTCTCAAAATAATGGGGGCATGTTTTCACAGGTATATGAGTTACCAAAAATCAATACATTTTTAATGGTAGCCAGGAAGCAAGACAGCAATTGGAAAGGTTCTCTGTGTATTCCCTCGAACACAGCTTTGATTTAAGTATCTCTTCTTGTCTTCATATGTAGCCTGTTTTGGGCCAAAATGTTCAGAATAAGCTATCATTTACTAAGTGGATTTGAGTTCTGCTGAAGATTTATTTAAAATGTGGTCCAAGATTCAAAGGGCCTGCTTCCTCAGGGAACAAGCAGAACCTTTGGTACAAAGGCTTATATTTAATTGTCCCTTGCGGACACTCTCTCTGGTCCTCAGCTGTGTGGTATTCCCATCTGGGTTGGTGGTAAGTGGGTCCAGTAGAACCTCCTGGCAGCCTCCAAGGGATCCTTGCTAGATACCACTGTCAAGTTAGCTGATGTCCTGGGCATCTGAGAACACATTCTCCTTTGCCAAAAGTCCCCCAGGTGCCTGGGGTCTCACAGCACAGGAAGCTGCTGCTGGGTGGTTCGCAGTGGAAAGGCTGATGGGGCCTTCTCTTCTATTTATTTAAAGAGATGGAGGGAAGAAAAAACAGAATAGATTTTTGTGGAAGAGGAACATGGACCCAACCCCAATAGTGGGAAATTTACTTGGCTTTCACTTTTCTATTTATGAGTCTGTTTGAAGAGAATGAGCTAAGGGAAAATTTAAAACAACTTTGATGCTGAAAGGTGTGTGTGTGCATGCATGTGTGTGTGCACACGTGCATCACCCCCTCCAAAGCACTCAGTACACCAGGGATGTGAAGAGCAATTCCTGTCCATGAGAATCTGACCCTGTGATGGGGCCCTTGTCTGAGAAACTCAGGCTGCCATTTCCATCCCTCTTCAACTCATTTTTCTAGGGTGCCAGTTGCCTGGGAGGCTCTGTATACAATTGCCTCCGTGAAGGGCCCACTCTTCATTTTGGAAACTTTCTCATTTTTCATCACCCTACGCTTTCCTTCAGCTTTTGTCTCCGTCTCTTCTTTGTCTCCACACTGTGAAAAGATATGTAAGAAAGGCTCCATTTTGAAGGGGCCTGAGGGTCCGAATAGATGTAGATTTCACAGGGCAGGAAGCCTAACTGAACCAGTAGTATTCCATCCAGGAGGACTGTGTCCACAGGCTGTTAGCCAAAGAGCACTTTTCAAACTGACGTTTTCCCTGCAGTGACCAATTAGCTTGGAGATTTCTACCAGTTTGTGTTCCAGGGCAAGAAAGGAAATGCTCAAGGTAGACTCATGAAAAAAAGCAGCATTATTGTCTTTTGTATAAAAGTCCTTTTATGCGCTATCTACTCACAGGACAGTGTCTTATTTTCTTCTGTCTCCAGAGGATTTTTTTTATGTCTTTCGCTAGCTGCCGCCTTATTCTACAAGTGTGCCATCCAGGGCCACGATATTTTCTGTGCTATCAGTGTTAGTCTTCAAATAACTCCCTAGAATCCGCCTGCCCATCTCATTTCACTCCATCCCCTGATGTTCTCTGGCTCTCTGATTTGAGCTAGATAGATGTAACACCCCTGAGGAACTTCCTGGATCCTCCTGTCAACCACCAGCACACTCCTCAGGTTATTCATATTTTAAAATCGTGGGAGGGAAGGTCTGTGGTAAAAGGGAATCTTCACCATTCCTGGAAGGAGGAATCACAAATGGCTGTGGATTGAAATGTAGAGCTGAAGTGCAAGAGAAGGGCAGCCCATGGGCCCTGGAATTGGTACAGCCCTCCTCCTCAGACTGGTTGGGGCTGAGTCCTGTTGTCAGCTGTTCTGCTGCTTCACCCCCCCCTCCCCCAAAAAAAGATGGTTAGCAAGCTTTTTAAGTGTAGGAGCAACTTATTCATGTACAGGGATTTCAGGGCCAGAAGGGGCTTTTTTTTTTTTTTTTTTTTTTAACCTAGGCACCAAGTTCAATACCCCTATTTTATAGTTGAGGGAAATGAGCCCCCCACCCCTAGTATACCCCTCAGGCCCAGCTTCAGCTGGCAGGGTGTTAACCCTTTCTCAGAGCACGACATTTTTATTCTCGGTGGCTTCTTGTTACAGAAATGTCTCCATGTACAAGTGAAGATTAAGGTAGTCTGTGATTGCCTCCATTTTCCTCCTGGCAGGGCTCCTCTATCAGTGGCTTACAGGGAAGTATTCTTTACAAGAAAGAGGGGGAAAGAGAAGACCTTTTTTTTGCTTCTTCTCCCCTGAGATTGTGCTTTTTCTCTTCTTGTTGTTATTCCAACACTTTGAGGCAGAGGCTATGGGGTGGGGAAGGGGGTTGCCGAAGTAGCATCAGAGACAGCAGGCTGTTGTGAAAGTAGACCTCCATCTTCCTGAAGGAGAAGTTACCAGGCTAACCCGGTTTGGGATTTAAGAAGAGGCACGGTTCACTACAGTACTGTAGGAACAGGTTTAGAAATGTCCTCTGGAGAAGTCCTGGCCTGAGACAGGCACCAGGCTGCATGATGGAGGAAGGGGAGCCAGGCCGCAAGTGTGTGGCTGCTGCAGCCTCTGCGTTCTAGGGCCTGAGATTTTCAGAAGTCACCAAACGTTAAAATTAAGTGTAAGGAAGTCTCCCCACATTCTCTTCGCCCTCCATGACTTGTTTCGTGTGCCTTTTGGGAAGTCAGTCTCCAGGATTTTCAGGAGTTGTAGGGAAAACCACAACAGCGGAAGAGTCCGCTGTCGGGCCCTTCAGGGTGAGAGCAAAGACGTCAGGGGGCTGCCGCTCGCGTCACTTGCTGCTGCTGCGTGTCGGGGCGGCTCTCCTGGCTTCCCCGGGGCCGGTGGGGGCGGGGGGGCTGGCCCGGGTCGGAGGGGTGCTAGGGCTGGGACGCCCCTGCCCCCGCCCGGGGCCGCTGGGGGGCTCCCGATGCGCTCCCC